TCAAGTTATTATATTGTATGCTTGTTGGCCTGATGGACGCGATGTAAAATCCCCCGACTCAGCCTACGGCGATCAGCTGTGGTTGATTGCCAATATTTTGTTAGATCATTTTTCTCTGCCGTCCCAAACACAGTTTTGATAAAATTAGTTTTTCTTCCCTAAAAAATCTGGGCGTAACTGTCCTCTGATTGACCAACTAATCAAATAATGCTTATTGTTAACGTCTATCCCTGTATTTGCCTGTTTATAATTTGCAAGTGCGCTAATATCAACAATCCTTTGTACTTTCCCAGCTAGCTCACGGTCAACCCATCTTGAGTGATATATTCAAAACAATGCCTCTATATTTATTTTAATGTAAATTCTCTCTTCTAAGGTACTTATCTTGTATTGTTATTACCTCTTTCATTAATTTCAGTTGATGACTCTTAATTAGAACCAGATTAATTCTACCTCCACTTTATACATAAGAAAAAGATCTTTCCATAGAAACTGTTCTCTTATAAAGTGAGTTTTCAGGCGTTGCTTAGATGAACCGTTCTGTTATATTAAGGAAAACAGAAAGAAAAACAAAACTTATATTTAGAATCAGAAAGAAAAAGTTGAAATTTCTGAGACGCATAATGAGGAGGGAGGTCTTTTGAAAGTTTGACACTTGCAAGACAAATCAAAGGCGAAGAGGTAGAGTTAGGCATCAGTCCACCTACCTGAAAAAAAAAAGCCTATATGAATGAATGACGGGAAAAGGAGAGGGAGAGATATTTAAAAGACAGACATTACTATGAGTTACAAAGTATAGAAAGCTGTGGAGAGCCATAATCGACCACGAACACTTTTAGCCTTGTGCCATATCCAGGTTACGCTTAGAAAATTTATTTGGGGCACTTCGACGTGGGGTAATTATCAAGTTTGTCTCGCTAGATTAATTACGACTGAATAGTGAGTTCGATCCTCACTGAGCGCTCCATACTTTCGGCCTTGTACCACATCCAACCTACGCTTAGGGAATCGCCATGTCCTGAAAAAACATGGTATGAAGAAGACGGTGAAGAAAAATAATTAACGTATGGGATTTAAAACTATTACCGTTAAATTTGAAATCCAGCGGATTTTTATTTCTTGTACTTCAAGAACTCGATTTTCATTGTTTTTTATTATTATTATTATTATTATTATTATTATTATTATTATTATTATTATTATTATTTTCTTTGATTTCTGGCGTTTTTGTTTCTTTCCGGGTCCCGCCCAGGGACCTAAGTTAGAAATGGCGTCATGACAATTTCCACTGATAAAAAAAAAAAAAAAAAAACATAGATAAAGCCCTTCGTAAAGTGTGGGCTGTATTGTTCAATTTTTGTATCTCTTCGAAGCATGGACTTCCAGGAATCCCTTCAATTAGTCTTCTGGAATCTTTTCCAACCAGTCCTAGGGCTCCAACTATTATTATTATTATTTTCTTTGATTTCTGGCGTTTACTCATTTCTTTCCGGGTCCCGCCCAGGGACCTAAGGTTAGAAATGGCGTCATGATACTTTCCACTGACAAAAAAAAAAAAAAAAAAAAAAAAAAATCACATAGATAAAACCCTTCGTAAAGTGTGGGCTGTACTTGTCAGAACAATTTTTTTGTATCTCCTTGAGGCATGGACTTCCAGGAATCCCTTCAATTAGTCTACTGCAATCTTTTCCAACCAGTCCTAGGGCTCCAACTACAACAGGGATTGTTGATGTTATTATTATTATTATTATTATTATTTAATAACTGAAAGTATAGCTATAGATAAGATGGAATGGTATTTTTATTTTATAAGTGTAGCTAAATTTGGGCACAAGGACACAATTTTGGAGTACCAAGTGAAAATAAAACCTAGTTGTCTTGAGGAAAGATTTGAGATTTCGCGAAAGACTTTGCCAATGATTTATTCATTAGCTTTTCATTGTTGTAAGAATCATGGCTGTTACGGCTGAAGCGTCGATCTCGAAGCCCCCCCCCCTCGACAGATGCCGCTCCAATAAATGTAATTTGAGCTTGCAGAAGCCCACGTTGATTGCTCACATTTTTTTTTAACACCAACTGTGACAGGATTTCTCCTAAGCAGTTGGGATCATTTAAAAATAAAAGGCTAGAATTTGTTAATAAAAATTACACTTGCCGTTTGTTTAGTGTCTAACTGAATTTTCAGTGATGTTTAAGTATCCGTTGTTAAATCTGAGATTTATGGATGAAGCGAGATTTGTTCTGGAGCGCTGGGATAGGATCACTTTGTTGGGGATTTAATGCAGCGTTCGGAAGAAGGGTGTGAAATGCATATCGAAACACTTGATGAAAGAGAATCCATTCCGGTTGAACTGGCAAGCTCAAGGACGCCGTACTTTCTCAAATCTCTCCTTTAACTGGACAAAATTTTATCCCAAAGTTAAAATTACAAAAGGGACAATAAAAAATATACAGTTTTTTGCAGTGTGGCAAAATCTTTAAATACAGATTTCTGAATATAGACTTCAAAAGTAACGTTTCTGAAATTCCAATTGCCTTAAAAGCTACAAAAGTCTCACTGTTACGTTTTCGCTTAAAATGATGAGTTAAAGACCTTCATGAGTTTTGGGCCAATTTCGAAAAGAATAAATAATAAAGCAGAAATACGTAAGGAATTCTTGGTTCGAAGCGTTTTTTTTTCTAAATATTTTACTAAAATAACTAAATTGTTGTTCTATCTTTCATTTCCTCATTATTTTTGTTAGAAAAGCACTGTTAATTTTAGGAGAAACCCAATACAATGATTTTTTTTAGGGCTTATCAACCTTTTGAAGGTTATTTTAAAACCAGAAAATGTTTTTGGATTGCAAGATTTCTTTGGGATATATTGATGATTTACTAATACAAGTCCTACTATTTAACCCATAGCTGGTGGGAAAAGCGGTGGATTCATAACTTTTCCAAAGGTATTTGCGCTTAAATGAATGAACCCGACTGGAATTGAAACTCAGCTTACCAATTAACTATTCCGAGCCGTCAACCATTACATCACTGTGTATCAAAGCTTACAGCACACGTTATTCCTAAACTGTTACCCATTTAAGTACTGACTAGGTTCAACGTTGCTTAACTTCGGTGATCGGGCGAGAATTGGTGTTTCAACAGCTGGCTGTAAGCTCAAGATAATGGCCTAAAAAATGTAGCTAAAATTCAAACAGGTTTTTTGTTTTCAATAATTTATCGAAATTATCGTGAATTCCTGGATATTTTACAATATATGAGTTAATAAATAATGTAAAAGACTGACTAAAAATTGCTGAATATTTGGCAGAATTTAATTTTTTTACAAATCGCAATAATGTGTTATCTTCTTTAAAATATTTGAAATAAAAATGAAATTGAAATAAATTAAAATTACTGATAATATCACTCAGCTAAGTCACAAATTTTTATTAATCATATATACATATATCTTGATAATGGCTAATAGAATAGACGAAAGCGATTGGGCATGCAGAACTTTTAGACAGTTTTTACACACTTTGTGTCCAGGAAAGAAAGCACTTGTACGAAATTAAATAAAAGCTTAATCACAGTACCTTATCCGTCGTCTTTAATGAAACTTGTACGTACACACACACACACGCGCACACACACACACACACACACACACACACACACATATATATATATTTATACACGTTTCATTAAATAATATAGACAAGTGTTGTCTATTTATTTTATGTAAATTTTTTTCGTAACATCTGATAAGTTTAATAACATTATCGTTAAACGAAGAAAGAAATTCACAATATTGATCCATATTTTTTTAATATAATCTAAGCTTTCGGCTTACTTAAGCCATTATCAAAGATGTAAGTTACAAACATATTAAACAATATACGGACACGACAGTGATGATAGTCTGTCATTGTTTACATAGTTGATCACTAAGCAACGATAAACACGCGCATATAAGACGCTAGAAGCGAAAATCGCACCGCATCTCATGACGTCACATATAACCACGAGAGTGAATTGGAGAATGAAGTATGGAAAGCCGTTGGTATAAACCAATGGCTTCTGTTACCAATTATAGACATTTAAGAATATTGGTAAAGATGCCATAATTGATTTTGTTTAGGTTGGGTTTCAACTGTTTGATGTATAATGCTTCAAGTATTTTTAGTTTTTGTCTATTGTTTTCATGTCGAAGTATAGTTGTGTTTTCGACAAGTAATATGCTGCCTATATACACACAATATATATGTATATATATTCAAACATATATTGTTAAATATAACAGACAACGAATGTCTTTTATGTTTGATCTTGAGCCGTTCTAAACTTCGTATAGTTGATTTAATTTCGGGAGAAAATAAAGGCAAAAATTGTCCAACATTTGGATATTTTTATTATGCTGTTCCAAAAGCTTAGATCAAATGTTGGACAATTTTTACCTTTATTTTCGCCCGAAATTAAATCAAATATACGAAGTTCGGAACGGCTCATGATCAAACATAAAAGACATTCGTTGTCTGTTATATTTAACAATGGTAACACACACCTACATCAATACACACGCTTACACATATCATACTCACTCACTCCCTAAGAACCAAATAACACACACACACACAAACACTAAACAGAGACACATCCTCTCACCAGGTCCAATAAAACTGTCAAACTGACCAGAGAATTCAGAGTAACATCAGCTCTTATCTCAAATAACAACTTAAAAGAGACTCTTTGACCAACACAAGGAATGTTAAAAAAGATTCATGTTAAAAAGATAAAAAAAAAAACAAATGAAAACTACAGACAAAGTTCATTTCTCCAGCAAAAGACATTCATTTCTGTAGTTTAGTGCTACCAGCAAGCAGAAATATTTCTCCTCCCGATGATGGCCATTTCGGTCGAGGAATCTAAATGGAATAATAATAAAAAAAGCGAAAGAATATTAATCTACAACCCAGTGTGTCTAAAGATTTTAATTTTTTTATTTTCTTATTGTTCAATATATATATATATATATATATATATATATATATATATATATATATATATATATATATATAATGTAAAAGTTTAAAATTGTATAAATAAAATCCAGAAACTAAATTTATTAAGAAAGTTCTGGGTGGGAATGTATATCCGCTGAATACTGTACAGTCCAACCATCGGCGAAATACGTGTCAATTTCGTGAACTTAGCCGTACCAGCCCACCAGAAATATCTCGTCTATTTGAGTGCCTTGTAGATTGGTGATGTGAGTACAAGATATCTTAAGATGATTTCTGTGTGTAAAAAACAAAAAACAAAAAAAACCTGTTATCTTTTCGTCAATCGTTGTTCAAACAATGTTGAGACTACCCTGTCATATCAGTTCGGTAATTTACATGATAGATCTTTACATGACAGACTTTCCATTCAATTCAGACTGACTGGCAACCAGAAATGTCTCAATGCATGTACCGTGGATTGGTGAACTGAATACAAGATTTTGGCTAAACAGGTTTCTGCATATGCAAAAAGAATTGTTATCTTTCCGCCGATCGGTGCTTCACCAAATGTTGAGACCGAACCGGAAGAATATTCTACCTGACCATCATATCAGTTCGCTAATTTTCTAAGTGAGACATCAGTGAGATGCTAACTATGTAGGCTAAATCGTTAACATTAAATACAATTCAGACACACTGGCCTCCTGAAATATCTATTCTGTCTGCATGTACCGTGGATTGGTGAATTGGATCCAAGATTTGCTCAACAGTGTATGCAAAAAGAACTGTTATCTTTTCGCCAATGGGTGCTCGATCAAATATATTCTATCTGCCCATCATATCAGTTCGGTAATTTTCATCAGTGAGGTGCTGACTATGTTGGTAGAACGGGCCAAAGTTTGGAAGCAGTTTTCAGGCAATACGCAATATTCGAAAGGGCAAGGTGAACAATTTGCATTAGTGCGTAAATACAATAAATTCAGTAGTGTGGGCATCCAAGACATGCTCTCAGTGCTAAGCAAGGTTAATTCCGAGTTTTAGTTGAAAGTGTTATATTCTGTTTACGTTAAGTTCGACCAGCCACCTCCCTGTAAGGAGAAGGAGGTAGGCTTAAAGGTAATTGGTTTGTTATGTAATTTGTTTGTTATATATTTTCTTTCATATAACATCTTTCTTCAGTTTTCATTTTTAGTTACTGTGCACATTTTATTCTCGATCTTTGCTCTGATGAGAGAGGACCGATAAACCGGTTTAGCTGTGATGACAGAGGACCGATAAACCGATTCAGATCTGATGAGAGAGGACCGATAAACCGGTTTAGCTGTGATAAAAGAGGACCGATAAACCGACTCAGATCTGATGAGAGAGGACCGAATAACTAATTTATCTCTGATAAGAGAGGACTGATAAACCGACTCAGATCTGAGAGAGGACCGATAAACCGGTTTGGCAGTGATGACAGGACCGATAAACCGACTCAGATCTGATGAGAGAGGACCGAATAACTAATTTATCTCTGATAAGAGAGGACTGATAAACCGACTCAGATCTGAGAGAGGACCGATAAACCGGTTTGGCAGTGATAAGAGAGGACCGATAAACCGACTCAGATCTGATGAGAGAGGACCGAATAACTAATTTATCTCTGATAAGAGAGGACTGATAAACCGACTCAGATCTGAGAGAGGACCGATAAACCGATTCAGATCTGATGAGAGAGGACCGAATAACTAATTTATCTCTGATAAGAGAGGACTGATAAACCGACTCAGATCTGAGAGAGGACCGATAAACCGGTTTAGCAGTGATAAGAGAGGACCGATAAACCGATTCAGATCTGATGAGAGAGGGCGGATGAGAAAGGATTGATAAACCGATTTAGCTATCTTTTTTGCTAATCGTGTTGCTTTACGATATTACTATCTTGCATTAACATATAGTTTTGTTACTCCCACTTAAAGTAAGAAAAAAGAAACGGTGATAGAAAGAAGAAAGAAAGAAAATGATAGACAGAAAAAAAGAGTGAAATAAGAAATGAAATAAGAAATGTACAAAGAAAGTACAAAAAAAGAAAGTAAATAAAGAAAATGACAGAAAGAAGAAAGGAAAATAAGAAGCAGGAAAGGGAAAGAAAAAAACGAAGAAAAAGAAAAAAGAAAATGAAAGAAAGAAATATAATATAATATAGAAGAAAAAAAGGAAAAGAAATAAAGAAATTTATTATTTTCCTTCCTCATCTCTATCTTTTCTTCTTTCTTTCTACTATAGAAAAATTAGATACAAATGAGGAAAGAAGATAATAAAAAGAAGAAATAAAAAGAAAGAACGGAATGAAAAAAACAAAAGAAAGAAATAGAAAGAATAAAGAAAAAAGGGAAGAAACAAAATCCAAGAAATAAAGGTGGTGAGAAAAAAAGAAGGAAACTAAAGAAAAGGATAGAAAGAATAAGGGAAAAGACAGAAAGAAAGCAGAAAAGAAATTATCTTGAAAGAAAAATAAGAAAAAAAAAATCATATCGGAAGTCGGAAACTTGTAAATTAAATCCGAAGCTGAATATGTCAACTCGAGGTGTTAAGTTGACAGCCTGTAATAGGTCGTTGGTCATCATTATCAAACAATAAAGAGGAGGGGGAGGAAGATGAGGAGAAGGAGGAGGAAGACAAGGAGAACAAAGAAAAAGAAGGGTGTTTGAGACAATATGAGATTTAAATGGTAACGGGCGAATGAAGAAATTAAATCGAGATGAAAAACGAAACCTTCAGGAGAACACAAAACACAAATTGACATTCACAAAGACGGTGGGATGAAAAGACGAAGAGAATAAGTGGAGAAAAGTAATAAGCTTCTATAAAAAAAAAAAAAAATTGGATGAAAAAGAAAGAGAACGCAGAAAATACTTTGGGAAATAAAGTGTCCGCCATTTTTTAAACAAATAAAAGGTGAAAACGTAAGAAAGGAATAGAAGGAGGCGGAGTAGGAGGAGGCGGAGTAGAAGAAGAAGAACGAGGGGAAGGAAATGTATGGGTGAACGAAAGCGAAAGAAATGTGAGGGTGCTGATTATGACGCCTCTTCTTACAAATCAACGTTGATTTGATGGCAAAAAGCGACGTGAAGTCAGTCGTCCGATCTGTTAACGACCTCCTTCAACTCAAAATTGAAATTGGTTGTGAAATAAGAAATAAAGAAAAGCACGAAGTGGCACTTAAATCAAGACAGAGGAAGAATGAAGTATAACAGGAGGCAGAAAGAAAGAGAGACATTGACTGAGATAAAGAAAGAGAAGAGGTAGAGCACCGAAAGAAAAGAAAAAAAGAGAGTGTATATATAAAGAGAAAGAAAGGCGAACGAGAACAGAGGGAGCGAGTAAAAGAGGGAAAAAGAGAGAGAAGTGACTGCAAGAAGACTGCAAGAAAGCAAACAGAGTAAAAGTAGGGAGGGAGGGAGGGAGGGAGGGAGGAGGAGTAGCGAGAAGAAGAAAAGAAAGAGAGAAATAGAAGTAAAAAATAGATATAAAGGACGAAAGAAAGAAGTGTAAAAGAGTAAATGTATAAATAGAGAGGAGGAGAAATAGTGACAGGCACAAAGACGAGAGGGAGAGTTTGGTTGTTTTGTTTTTTGTTTGTTTTTTGGGAGGGGTTGTTTTTTTTACAGCCTATTAACCATTTTGGGTTATGATAAGCCGAAACATTTTAGATCATAAAAGTAAATACATCTTTGCGTACATTTTAGATCATAAGAATAAATACACCTTTGCCAGTGAAGACTGCATTAACAAATAGTTTTGGAAATAACAACGTTTTTTCGAGGTACCGGCCATACTATTTAATCCATAGCTAGATTCAGACACTTCTCAAAGGTATTTGGACGCAAGTGAATGCAGCGCATCCGAATAGAATTCGAACTCAGCTCCCCGATTCTCTTATTCTTAATCGCTTACCATTACACTAAGCGCACAATGACGAGAGATAGCGAAGAGGATCACGTTGAAATAAATAAATAAATAAATAAATAAATAAATAAAGAAAGAAAGAAAGAAAGAAAGAAATAAAGAAAGAAAGAGAGGCGAGCTAGCTAGCTGACTGACAGGAAGGTGAGAAAGGACAAAGGGAGGAGAAGAAAAAAAGAAAAAGGCGAAATCGCAAATTTAAAGTGTTAGATGTTTTCCCTTGTTCTTTTGATAACGACTCTTTAGCAGGCGTCAATCTCGGGATGAATGCTTGAAGGTGCGAAGCAGCAACGAGTTGGGGCAAGCGGGTTGACAGCAAGCAAAAAAAAAAAAAAAAAAAAAAAAAAAAAAGACAAAAGCAATAAAGTCCCACTCACCGTATTGCATACCTTTATCTCTTCCGCGCAATTCCGCCTTACCGTCTGCATCAGTCACTTTTGGACTCAGCGCATTGGTTCCACACGCTTCTACCATTACCAACAGAAACTCTGTGTAAGAGACTTCTTTTTACTAATATCCGCCCAATACAAAAGCCAAGAGCCGCTCAAGGTAGACGGTTATTGAATGAGGTGTGTGATATGAACTTAAAAAGGAGGAAATAAAAATTACGAATAGATGGTGGTGGATAGATAATGATTGACCCTAGACTTGAAGAGGTTAAAAGAGTAGTGTTCAGGGAAGCATTCATGCGGGAGTCCCTTCAACAAAGTAGCGTTTTTTGGAGAGAAGTTTTCAGAGTGCTCCATCCTTCTTACGTAAAGAACACGCAGGGAATGAGGTAATTAAATCCTGTCAACGTGTCAAAGCGGGTTTTGGATCTAAAGGTTTGAGCTCGTGGCAATAAAGAATAAAACTAGTCTCAACATTTGCCATGGAACTATCCACAGAGTAACAAAAGGTTTAATTTGACACAAGGTTACAAATACCTCGCTATCATTGATATTCGAATTCATTAAACCGATCCTCTAAACTAGCACGCTTTACAGGATTAATTCGTTTGAAGCTATTTTTAACTATTGGTCAGAGAAAACAGTTGTATACAGATGATAGTTTAGACATTTCTGAAAGAGTTGGGTGCAAATGGAACTATAGATCCGACGAGGTTATTTAAGAACCTAACTCGAGTTTTCAAATGCTGGACAAAAGACACACTGATGCAGCCTCTACTCTGTTCAACTTCCTTATATTCTATCATAGATTTGTTATAACTGATCTATACACCGAAATATTTGAACAATTTAGAATTTATCAATGCAATAATCTGAATTTTTATGACGGATTTAGGATGGGGGCCAATATTAATCTCATTTCAATTCCAGACGATAGTTTCTGTTTTAGAAATATTTATTTAAAACCTTAATTCTTGGAACACTTGTAACAGGATGTTGATCTTTTGTTCATAATAATTCTTACTAGCAGTAGAGCCCGGCGTTGCCCGGGGATATAACAGTAAGAGATAGATCAGGTATCGACCATCATAAAGACTGACAATTGACAAAGATTATTGTTTAAGGTTGACGGACACGCATGTCTTAATTTTTTTTTTTTTTTTTTTACGAATTGGTCAAACCCAAACTCAAACAAAAACATTGTTTCAATCATTATGAGTCTCCCGATTGAATAGAATTTTATTATAAACAATTGTCTTGTAAATAGAATTTTTAAAGCATTCTGAATACTAAAAATAAAGAAAAAAGTGTGCAAGAGAATAAGAAACACTACCTGCCAAAACAAAAAGTGAATTTTTGTTTTATCGGCTGAAAAATGTAGGAAATCCGATCCAATATATAAAGGAATACACACTCACAAACAACCTGGGTTTTTAACCCGATGTGAGTTCATTCACATGATGTCTCTTAATCGTGTTTTCAAATTGATTTTGTGCAAAAACAATTGTATTTTCCCATTTTGGCGCTATTAGAACCACTGCAAGGTAATTTTATGTAGTCCTGTGAAGTTTTATTTGAAATCAGTTGAAAAATGTAGGAAATCCGATCAATATATAAACGTTACACACACACACACACACACACACACACACACACACACACACAATCTGCGTTTTATAATAAGTAAGATAAGATACCAACTTTTGAACAACATACATTATCAACATACTCTTCGTCATTGTCCTTTAAAAAGAAAGATGGCTTGATTGTTGATTGATTTTGTTTAGCGGAACAACAAGCTTTTAGGGTTATGTAATGTCGAAATGTAAATATTTTGAGCGCAATTGTATGCCTTTAACTACAGATAAAATGTATTTTGGTATATAAATAGGTAGTGTTGCTAATATTATTATTAAAAGGCATTACGGGTAATTTTATTTTATTTAAATAGGTATTGTTGGTAATTTTGCTATAAATAGATATTGTTGGTTGAGTTATTTAATGCCGAAATTTAAATATTTTGTACATAATTTTATACTTTTAGGGTAAGTTATGTCTATATATATATATATATATATATATATATATATATATATATATATATATATTTGTAGATAATAAAATGTATTGTTGGTAATTTTACTATAAAAATGTATTTTATATTTTTTTAATGTTGCATTGATTGTCATTTTGCTATATAAATATGTTGTTTGTCATTTTATTATAAAAATGTACTGTTGATTAATTTTGGATGAGGTACGAAATATTTAAATGTTTAATACTAGGTACCAACGCCATGATGACTATAACGAAAAAGAATGTCTTTACTTTTAACATAAAACATGACTGCGTAATAACAAAGTTAATAAAGTCATAAGGCCATGTAATGGTTAGCGGCTCGGAATAAGAAATCAGCCAACCTTGTTCGAATTCAGGTCGAGTTTGTTACATTCATTAATATGTAAATACAAATAACATTGGGAACGGAATGAACCCGTCTCTATTCTCAATAAGTGGATTAAATAACAGTACATACCGGGGTCTCTAAACGTGGTTAGTAATCAGTCTAGGAGAAGCTCAAGATTGAAAAGCCGTGAATAACCCTGGCGAAGCACATCCTATACTATATGAAAAGTGTTCGCAATTAGCCGCGGCGCTGAGTTATTGTCTCTGTGACCTTGACTGAGGTCGATTAGATACTTTTTGATTGATTTGCTTTTGACGGCTTATCAACTCTTTGCAGGTTATTTAAAGCCAGAAAATATTTTTAGATTGTAAGAATATTTTGGAGATAAAAATGATTAACTGATAAAAGTCCTACTACTTAACCCATAGCTGGGGTGGATTCATAGCTTTCCCAAAGGTGTTTTTTAAATCATTTCACCCCAAGCAAGGCAATAGAGCCACTAACATGCAGTGTGTTACTGAGTGTGAAAAAAATATATAAGAAAACATTATTATTGGGAATAAAAGAACAGAATTTAAGAAAACACAAGGTAACGATTGACACTGAATTTAAATTTTTGATGATCAAACTTGAGTGGAAGTAACCGAAAGAAAGTTCCACAAGCAAGAAGTGTGAGAAAAGAAACTGTTAACAAAGAACTTACGATTAGATCTAGCCATTTCGACTGTAAAATGATGAGACCTTACTGCCAATCGAGTACTGCGCTTAAAT